AGCTGGAGATGGATGATTGTATTTGTGTGACATGAGACATGATGGTTGGCAACTTGGCTTTGGGGACAAAATTATGACGAAGAATATGCAAAACCCCTTTACAATATTCCCCCCTCCATGCGAGTTTGTGTCCTCTGTACATTGTTTGTTTATATTTTGTTTTGTACGTCATTTCACCTCTCATCATTACTATACGAGCCGATGATCTTTCTAACCATATTCTCTGACGTTTAGTTCATTCATTTTCAAAACTAAAGGACACTTAAATTTGAATATAATGATTTATCAGGCAATCTAACGTCTTGTACAATTTTTTATTTCAACCGATATGTTGAATACAATTTGATTTTCATCTCCTTTTGAGTTGTATTTATTGAACTAATAAATATTAAGTAAGTGGCATTTTACCACAGTGGTGGAAAAATGTTGTACCCTTACATGACGGTGTGAGTTCAAATCATGTCAGTGAGTAATTTAACATCTAATCTAACTAAATTTATCGTTTGACAAAAAAAAAAACTAATAAATTTTAAAAACAGATAGCCAATCATATTCTTACAGTTAGCCCAAAGTTTTAATATTAAATGAGAGCCCGTTTATTAAAAATCCAAAATTAAGCTCAATTTGACAGCAACGTCAAATTAGACAACAAGTGCCTAGACGCTATTCCACGTCAGGAATGAAGCATCGGTTCGAGAAAGTTTTGTTGTTTATATATATATATATATATATATATATATTTTTACCCTTAAATGTCTACTTAGCACTTTTAACATCTTATTTGAAGATGCTCTTCTGATTCTTAATATTGAAGATTTGATGAAATTCTTGATGAGGTTGGTAATATTTCCAATGGAATAATTGTATATTATTTTTATTTTTCCAAGTTCCAACTGAACATTTGTCCTAGGTGTAGAAGTGAAGTATTCTACCTTTTTTTTTTTTTTGAATAAACAATATTATCCACACTAAGAGGGGAGGGGATGACTTAGTCTCCCAATGGGCTAACTATAATATAATTCAAATTCGTCTTTGGCGATAATCGAACATAAATCCTTTCACTTACAAGTGAAGAGGAATATCACTAGACCGTAGTACTAAGTGACAATGATTCTATCATTTGACGTATAAGTTTTCTATGGTATCGAGATGTGGGGGGCTTTGTACATCAACGAGGATAAGAAATTGCGAATATAGATGGAAGCGGGTAACGGTTATTGTTGCATTCCTGGCTACTAATATATGACAATTTGGAGGGACTTTTGCATAAAATCAGGGGCTGGATTGTCACAGTGGTGTTAATACCGTTTTATGAAAAAATTTCTCGTCTACGAGATATGTTGCCTCATTCTTACTTTTTATTTTGTTTTTTATATCCAAATTAATGTTGTTGATGAGATTGAACTAAGAATCTCTTTCAACAAAGTAAAAACTAAGTGTACACTTTCTTATCGCCGAGCCTAGTAGCATGGAATTGTAACTAAGCAGAGCATTAAAGTGATTATTTGTTTTATGGATGAGTCGAGTGTGGTGTTAGCGAGTGATTCATTGTTTCCTCATATGAAAGTCAAATTAAGCACGCCCCAAGTCCTTGAATTAGTAAAACAGACCCCACGTTTAATAGGTGGTTACACTGGCAGAGCCAAGTTAAGGGCTGCCCTGGGCTGTAGCCCAGGTATCTTGCGGTGAAAAATAAAATTTTACATGTAATTTTGATTGATTTTCGAATGTAGCCCACCAAATATTTAGTCACTAATTCGAATTCTCTAGGTTTAACTATATAAAATTATATAATACAGTTTGCAAACCATCTATTTTTCTTACATTATTTTTCTCATCACTTCTTGTACATGTACAAGTTTGGATTTGTTTAATTTTAACACGTATTTGTTTAATTACAAAAAATTTTGGCTCACTTTGTGAATTTTTTTAAGCTAGCTGATACTATGAAAAATAAGGTATCAAGTTTCTTTATTTATAAAGATTTAAATTTTTAAGCTAGCCCATCCGATAAAAAATTCCTAGCTCTGCTATTGGGTGGTTAGCAAATCAACATAATGTGAACGTCAAAGAGTGTGCACACTTTCTAATCCAGATTAAGAGGGAGAAAATTAGGGTGGGTGGAAACAAGAAAAAGAACCCTAATGATTAAGGATTGGACCGTTATCTTCACGTTAGTTACATGGAAGGAAGGTGGAGTTGAAATCTTGCAATCCCAAAAGCTACAAACCTAATTTTGATGATGAAAACCATGCACTCCAAAAGGACGAGGTCCCCGCTTTTCCCTCAAAACCGCGATCTCGTTTGGTTATTTCTGAACTAATTTATCATATCGCATTGGATTTGGATTGGAAGGTTACCAAATCCTAACCTTTCCCTCTATTTTTCATGAGTTTTGGGAAGGAATCCTAAGCTACAAAAGCATCACCGTCACCATTTTTTTTTTTTTTTTGGTTTTGTATTTAAGGAAATTTCGCTCATTTAGTTAATGACTTGGTTGAGATTTTTATTGGGTTAGGTTAATCCAGAGAGGTGACCCACTCTCCCTATTTATTTTCCTCTACAATTCTAATTATCCTTTATGGTTATGGATGGTAGAAACTAACAACCAATATGTATTATGGTCTGATTATTCCACCGTCTCACGCGTTGTAATTTGAGTGGCAGACGATTTTAATTTATACAAATTTAGGTAGAGCAAGTAGAAGTGAAGGGATTATCCTAAGGACATGTTTCTAATTGTTTTTTGAATGACTAGAAGTATTTTTGGATTACGAAAGACGTTCTAACTATGTTTGAAAGAAAAAAAAAAAACTTAAAATTGCTTATGAGTTGTAAAAATGTTTCTAAATCTTAGAAGCACTATCTGAAAAAACATATTGTAGTACTTATTTAGTAAGCACATTCAAGTGTTTTTTAAGTAAGTCGCTCGTTGGTTTATTGTACTGGATAGTTGTTTTAGTTTGTGTTGTAAAACTCACTAGTGATGTTTTGGTGTGGTGTTTATAAATGTAATTAAATCCTTGCTATATATAAAATAATAAGCACTTGAATTATATGAATGAAAACATCGACGTGTTTCGAATAAAAGCACTTGTAATAAAACACAGTTCTTAAAAAGAGCAAAATCTCAAATAATTTTGAAACACGTAAAATAATATATATAGACAATAACATCACGTAGCGGTTGTAACAGTCGCATCAAAAAACTTATCGTGCCAACAACTTTTTAGGTTAGTCATATGGTTGGAGGTGATGCATGTACAATTGGGAAAAAAATTTCACAGATGCAAGACCCACATCGTGAAGGTGGGAGATACTGCTGCAACCGTGTTAGTTACGATAGGTTTGTAGAGTTAGATGGTAAATTTATTTATTGTTACCCACTTTGTGAGTCGGTGGTTCCAACCACCCCCTTAATGTGGTACATTCAGGGTGTTATTCAACCATCAAAATTATTATATTTTTTAATTAAAATTATTTTTCAGGAATTATCATGCTAAAAACTAACTGAACCACAATTAGTTAGTAGTTAATTTGATTGTCCGCATTTTCATATCAACTTTATCTAATAAATTTTATAATTTTTTGCACATTTTAGATGAACAAAACATAATTTGTTGCAGAATTAACTCGTAATTGAAAACCTAGAGTTAAATAATACTAATTGTAGAAATACATTACGCGACAACATAGAAAGTTATGGAAATTCACCTTACATGTATGGCTAAATTAGGACTTGAGCATATAGCTAACTTTGATACTATTTGGTACAAATTAGTTAGAATCATGAAATTCAAATTAAAACAAACTTTAAAAACTCAAAAGGAAAATAAAATTTACTTGGGCCCACGCTTGCTTGCAAGTTAAACAAAGCACCTTCTAAATACCACGAGAAGATAAATCTTTTTTTCTTTTTTTTGAGAAACGAGAAGATAAATTAGATTATAGATATAATTAACATGTCATAGATACATATATAGTCCCATGACAAGCCACGCGCTCAAACAAACATATTACGTTGTACCCTTTCTTCCTAGTTCAAAATTCTCATATTATTCCACCCTCCCATCCATAACCAAATTCAAGAGAGTTTCAATCGATTTAAGGTTTTTATCACATATGATCTTTGAAATTGGTCCGTACTATTAAGATGATCTTTAAAATTGAAAATTAATTAATGTAATTTCTGAAAATAGGTGTGTCAAATTAATGTGGTTCTTCTGTCATACTTCTGTCAAAAATTCTATTATGCGCTAATGTAGCACATATATGAGTTTCATAAGTCTAATTAAATTAAAAATAAATTAGAAATAGGTTTAATTTAATAATAATTAAAAATTGTCAACTCAAAACCCAGTTCAACAATCATCTCTGATCCAACCCATACTCCTCAACCTGTATCTATAGTAGCCTTCGCCCTTCACCCTTCGCCTGCCCTTCTATGAAAACAAAAAAAATTCTCAAGACACCTATCTTTACACTTTTCAACACTGTTCACCGAATTGGACCAGAATCAAGACCACCTTTGGTGACGGGTTGGATTGTAGACGACCTATGTGACGTCACTATTAACATTTGGGGGATCAACATCCTTACAACCTTAATCTTGAAGAGCTTATTGGGCACTCCCCGGTAATCTTGGTAACGCGGAGAACAGCGAGCTCTACCACGAGATAATCTCATTGCGCAAAAAGGCATTTTGACAACTTTTTCAATTAATTATTAAATTATTAAATCCACATCGGCATATAACAAAAATTTTGACAAAATAACCATATTGATTTGCAACACCTATTTAAGGGACTACACTTATTGATTTTCAATTTCAGAGACCGTTCGTGATAAAAACCCATAAATCTTGGAGGACCCACATATGTCTAGCATCATCATATAATAGAATTTTTGACAAGATTGTATTTTTAAGGACTTCATGGATTGATTTTTTATTTCAAGGATCATCTAATGATAAAAACTCATCGAGTTATTAGTGTAAAAGTTACAGTTTCAATCCCTCTCGCTTTTGGTGTAGGATCCAATGGACACAAACTCTTTCCCTCTCCCCTCGTTGTTCCGGTTGCATTGAAAAAAAAAAAAAAAAAAAACTCTTTACCTTCTAAAAAGACTCGGAAACTCAATCTTATATAGTTAAAACCGTTTCCCTTCTTTTCTCTACCTCAAAAAGTTCACATAGACAAATAAGCAAGCTCTCACAGAAATCCCTAAAACCCAATCCAATCGGGAATAGGGAAAATACCAAAACATTGTGAATTCGATCACTCGATCAGATTATCTATATCGATCAATACATCCTGTATATTCTAAATTTCCGTCCTCTTCTTGCATTCGTCTTCTTCTTGCACCCGCCATTAATTCCATTATCTTCTTTCCGTCTTCTTCTTGCATTCGTCGTTCATGGAGTCGAACCTAGTCGACCGGATCTCCGTCCTCAACGTCTCAAATTCACACAAACAAGACCGGAGCGAGACACCCATGTCGGAGTTTCAATCCAAGCCGTCGGATCACGATGATGCGCCTCATGATCGTCAACAACAAGAACAGCCCAAGAAACAAGAACCAGAGCAGTCCCAGAACATTACACCAGATCACATTAACACCCCGGCAAAACAAGACCGCAAGACGCCGCCGTCCCCGATGGAAGATGAATCATCGACGAACGACAAGGACGTCGTGGATGACGACGACGACGGGTTCAAAACGCCGACGTCCCTGGAGCACAAAATCCCTCCGATGACAGAATGCCCGCCTGCGCCGGGCAAACCCAAACGCTTTCTAAAGAGAAAAACGTCGTCGCGGTCGCCTTCGCCTCCGCCGCCGCCCGCACGCAGAAAGGTTCAGTTTACAACAACACAACTGGATATGATATTTTGGTCAACTTTTCCCTCGCCTCGGATGGGCGCGCCAAAATCAAGAAAGCCAGACGATCAGAGTGATTAGTTAAACTGCAGTTCGAGTTTTGTTCATCCATATTATTCATGGTAACCCATCATTCATAATTAATTAAAATTCTGATCTCTCAGCTCCATCTTTTTTCGTTTTTTTTTTTTCCCTTCAATTTTTGTTAGATCTTGGTTAAAGGGAAGAAGACGTTGTAAAGATGGAAAAAGAAGAAAGAAGAAAGAAGAAAAGAGAGAGAGATGCATTGAAAGATTTTATGTTTCTTTTGTGCTCGAGGTGTTATTCTCTTCTCCTGCTAAAGATAAAAGATCATGAAACTGATGAAATATATATATATGTAATGATTTTTTTTTTCAGGAGCAATTGCAATATAATATTGCCACATTGTGTTTCAATTGATATATATTAATTTCGAGTATTATTTCATTTTTTCAAACGTTTGTTTTTTCTTTTAGGGACTATTTTAAGACAAAATATAAGTATGGTATTTATTATTCGAAATAAAGTCCAAAATTAATAAAATTAATTAATTTAAATAAGTGTTACATTACACCTTGTTTCTAATTCGTAACTTAGTCAGTTACAAGTAGTAACTCATACGCTATGAGTTTATTGTGAGAATTGTCTTTTTTTACTTAATTAATTTCGTGAAAGCGTTAGGGGGTGGATTGCCGTGAATATTAGAGTCTTGTTTCATACAACCAAAATTCAGATCCAAACAACTTTTTTTAGTGTAAATTAGTGTAAAATATTGCTCATGTAAAATTATAAGAGTATTCATATGTTCAAATTCTAGGATAAAATCAATATAGAGTTCAATTCGAAGCTTAAAAACCAAAGCACAATGTTGAAAACTACATTTGCTGAAAGATAGTCTAACCTTTACCCTCACCCCGTGGTTTTCATTTTTCAAATAGTTATCAATTTTTTATCATATAGATTATTCTAATAATTTTCTACACTCTTTATTATTTGATAAAAACGGCTTGTTGAGGTGATGATCATATTAAATACGTGTAAGTATTATAGTTAAATTCTAATATTTTTATTGGTTTGAACTTATCATTTGACCGTACGTGGTAAAGCTTTGCTTTGACATTTTTAATCGTTATTTATTAGCAGGCCTTCGTTTGGAGAAGGGGGAGAAGATACTGTTCACAGTGTTCTCTTAAATCTGTACTAGTGCTCACTTGTTGTACGTGTGTAATTAAATATGTGATTACTGTAATAAGGATGTGAGATTAATCATGATATTGTAAAATGAAGTCAAACTAAATGAGTTTTAATGGATATCTATTAACAACTCAATGTATTGATTTGCCACGACTAGCTATGAGGTTGGGGTAAAAAACAGAAAAATTTATGTTGCATGTAATTCCTAAATTGCCATTTTTTGTTCAATTTTGGTTACAGGGTTCGAACGACAATTTCATGGAATTTTGGTTGACAAATAAGGTTCTATTAATAGACAGTTTGGTTTTAAATAATATATATATATATGCATACAATATGTTATAAAAGAAGGACCAGGATCCTCTCCTAATCTAAGGATGAGGATTCTCATGACCAAGGGATGTGGGTCGTTGGATGAAAATCCAACGGCTACAAATAGCGAGTCCCTTTTAAAGTTATAATAATTATAACCGTTGGATTTTCATCCAACGATCCACATCCTTTAATCATGAGGATCCTCATCCTTAGATTAGGAGAGGATCCTCACCCATAAAAGAAAATCTGAATTATGTTTCCAAGAAAGGCAATCATGCTCCAAGTCCCATGTCCCATGATAAATTAGTTTTATAAACTTGTAACTTGTAAGTACGAGATTAATATTTAGTGAATATAATATGAATATTTAGATGTGGGATCTAGTACTATTGTTCCGGATCTTTTCGTGAGGATTCAAGAATCTCATGAGTGTAATCGTTCATTGTACATTCTGAGGTCAGTTTTTATTATATACTATTTATATTTAATTTAAATTTTAAATTTCAAATAATTTATGATCGCACGATGTACAATGAACGATCACTATCATGAGATCCCTGAATTCCCAAGAAAAGGATCCGGCGAGGATCTTTTTTCCTACTGTTTCTTCATGAAAGGCCATCTGTTTGCTTATTCGCCGGATCCTTTTCCCTATTGTTTCTTCATGAAAGGCCATCTGTTTGCTTATTTTACAGATGAATTAATCCAAGCAGACAAAGGGTTTTGTACTGTAAGATCAAAGTAAGAACATTCTTACTTGATCCACGAGATTTTTATTGTTTTGTTTTCAATTTGGAAATATCATTTTAAATCTAACTAAACACGGGAACTTTAATTCGATGAAAGCACGCACACCACATGAATTTCCTTTTTATAAGTTTAGGAAGTTGTTATTGGGGCTTTAGAATTTTTTTTTTTAACAAACAATATTATCTACATTAAGGGATGGAGGAATACACTAAAACTCACAATGAGCTAACAATAATGTAGTTCAAATTCGTCTTTGGCAAGAATGAAACTGGTAATTTCATAAGATTTTGGTTGATAATGAGTGTTTTGTTAATTAATTTCATAGGATTTTGGTTGATAATGAGTGTTTTGTTAATTAATTTCATAGGATTTTGGTTGATAATGAGTGTTTTGTTAATTAGTAGAGAGGGTTAGTGAATGTTTTGTTAATTTGTAGAGAAGAGATAAGGAATCCACTAATTAATTTAATTAATCAATTAATTAATTAATTAAAGCGTCTTCTTTCTTCCCTCTATTTTCCTCAATAACGGTAATCAACCACCGACAAGTAAAAAAGAATATCATTTAACGATTAAATGGCAACACTCTAGAAAAAGTTGAGTGCACCAATATTCATGATTTTGGATAGTAATTTTCACAATCCAGCTTTCACCTTTCGTTTGATGGATAGACCATCTCTTGTTAGTCCTAATAATGGATGACATCAAACATGGGAGACATTGGGCTTTACATCTCAGAGTTCCAAACTTCCTTAAACAGCAGTCCAGTCCACCAACGAATTAGTACAAAGCAGTGACGTGGCAAGAAGTGAGTGGCAGGCCGGATGCCGTAGAGGGCCCGCACGACATACATGGAAAAATTGTAATAATAAATCCTAATTATCATAAAAAGAAATTAACATATGGACACACGAAAGAAAATTTTTTATTTTTGTTTTTGGAATAGAAAGAGAGTGATAGAGAATATGGTAGTGGAAAGTTTTTATTTTTTATTTTTTATTATTTTTTTAATTAGAGATATGTTATGATTACATGTAGGTGAGGTTTTTGAAAAAAAAAAAAACTTTGATTGTGTGAAATTACATTTCTGCTCCATATTTCTTATTAATATTCTATTTTAATTAGAGGGTTAAACTGGTAATTTCATAGGATTTTGGTTAATAATGAGTGTTCTGTTAATTAATTTCATAGGATTTTGGTTGATAATGAGTGTTTTGTTAATTAGTAGAGAGGGATAATGAATGTTTCGTTAATTAGTAGAGAAGAGATAAGGAATCCACTAATTAATTTAATTAATCAATTAATTAATTAATTAAAGCGTCTTCTTTCTTCCCTCCCTTGACTGTTTCTATTTTCCTCAATAACGGTAATCAACCACCAAACTCCCTCTTTTTTCTCTCTTCCACTTTCTCAATCTTTCTCGCGCAGAAAATTCCCAAAAAAATCCCAATTTCTCTTTGTAATTTCATCATCAACCGGAACAAAATTACCATTTTTCCTATTCGATTGTGCAGTATTTGCCTAATGCACCATGAAGATGGAGCGGAAAAAGACGTTGACGATGAACTGGGACGGCCTCCGGGACGACGATGACGACGACCGCTTTTTCGAGTCAAAGGAACGCGCCTCCTCAGTCGTTCCTCTCGACCTCGAGGCATCCTCCTCCGAAGATGAGGATTTCGACGATAGTCGCATTTCATTCGCCTCATGTGTCTCCTCTGTTCGAAATGATGTCGATTTTCGCAACTCCACCGCAGCCGCTCCAATGGAGCCACCGTCTACTTTCGCGGCTCCAATGACGCCGGATTACAACATCTGGATGGAGGCGCCGGGGTCTATCACTGAGCGGCGGAAACGATTATTGCAGGGCATGGGGTTAGCCCAAGGACCTGGAAAAGACCTCGTCAGCTTCAAACAACTAACCAGCATTAAACGCCTCGTTTCCAACAAACTCACAAACGGCGTCGTTCCAATCCCCCGGTCAATCACTCGGGCCAAAGAAAAAGCACAAGTATTGTCGGATCAGCTGGTATCGGAGACAGAGCCAGAGTCGGAGCCGGAGCCTGATCATGATCCATTGCCAGTGGTGCTCGTCCGTTCGAGGTCGGAGGGCGACATTGAAGCTTTCTCGGTAGATAAACAAAGGAAGGAAGAGATAATCGGAACAATCTCGAAGCAACGGCTTACGAGGACTTGCTCCGCCATAGCCGCAACTCGCTCGAGAATATGTCCGTACACCGAATCGGTTAGAGCGTCCCCGAACGTCGGAGACGCTACTCCCAAGAGCCGATCGGTTCGGACTGGCGGTGGATTGTCGTCGGTCTTCTCGAACAACCGGTTAGGAGCCTTCTTCTTGATTAAGAATCTGGACACGGGGACTGAGTTCATCGTGAACGAGTACGATCAGGACGGGTGCTGGAATCGACTCAGCGATCTCCAAACGGGGAAGCAATTGACGATGGACGAGTTCGAGAAATGTGTCGGGTACTCGCCAGTGGTGAAAGAGGTTATGCGAAGACAGAGCGTTTCCAGCGAAGGCATCGGCGACGAAAGGAAGCTCGGTGCAGGGGCGAATTCGTTTGTTTCGAAGAGCCTGAGGATGAGCAAGAGAAGAGGGGTTGCTCTGTTGAAGAACAGCATACGAGGCATGGGGACCGCTGTGAGTGTGTTGATTGGGGAGAAAGAGAGGGAAAACACGACGCTGCCGCTGACACCACCGCCGGAGCAGAAACCCGCCAAGAACTCGAGTTCTTCTTCGTCGGCTTCATCGGAATGGGTCAAAGTTAGGCAGACAGGGAAACATTACAAGGAGTTATCGGCATTGCATTTGTGTCAAGAGATTCAAGCTCACGAGGGGTCAATTTGGGCTATTAAGTTTAGCTTAGATGCAAGGTTTCTTGCGAGTGCAGGAGAGGATCGGGTTATTCATGTGTGGGAAGTGCAAGAGTGTGAGATTATGTCATTGGATGGGAATTCGACCCCGCTTCATCACTCTCTCGGGTCCTCCACCCCTGACCGTTCGCCATCAATGTCTGATCAAGCTGCGGTTGGGCCATCCGAGAAGGAGAAGAAGAAGAAGGGA